CATCTTCACCGGAAACTTCTGAGCACCTCCACGCCTGCACTCTTTCTCTGACGTCTTGAGAGTGTTTATGAGCACGACTGCAACTTGTGTAACAAGCTCTGTAGCCTCTGGTGTACTCCAAGCCCCCGTCCAAGGACAAGGCCGAACACTTTCGAATCACCGACCGAGAGCCACCAACCCACTCGAACCACGCGAGAGAAGGCGGATCATCGAAGAGCGACGACTACGCAAGCTTAGACGCCGAGAAGCTAGAGCGGAGAGACTAGCGAACCGTACGTTGAAGAAGGGACTTCGCGCTAAGATAGCCGATTTCTTTGGTATCTTCCGTCTTTGGTAGAAGACTACGACCGACCTTTTATGACCTGTGCAGCCACATCTAGAGGTTGTGGAGCTAGTACAGCGTGCGCACCGTCGGCGCCAGCAATCGCGAGCACGCCTGGTGTTTGCTCGTCTGCAAGCACACCCATCTGGGCACCTAGCTCTCCCAGTCGCCATATCACCGCAGGGGAGATAGAGGAACTGAAGAAGAAGAAAGAGGAGCGTGCAGAGAAGAAGCAACAACGGAAGGAGGTTCGAGACGAGGCCAAAGCAGACACCAAGGCCAAGCTCCCGGATACGACTAGCAAGAAGGCTAAGCTTCGACTGTACATCACCTTGCTCAAGCTCAGGTTTCATCTCTAGACTTGAGATTGGTTTCTCGTTCTGGACGACTAGATCCCACCTTTCATGTCACACGGAGATTGTGGAACTAGCACACATCACGCATCGAGCACACCATTCTCCACATCTTACAATACCAGTACCAATTTCACCACCAAGAACGGAACGGTAGGGCAGAGACTGAAGATCAAGCGTGCGCGAAAGAGGCGACAGCGGAAGGTAGTTCGAGACAAGGCCAAAGCAGACACCAAGGCCAAGATCCCACACGCGGGTAACAAGAAGACCAAACTTTGGCTCCGCGTCAACTTGCTCCGGCTCAAGCTTCACTTCGGAACTTAAGATCAGTATATGGCAGACGGCGGTGATTGTGGTAGCGCTAGCTATAGCTCCGGCGACTGTGGTGGCGGCGACTCCGGCGGTTGCAGCACATCCCATACCGCAGGTGACGGAGGTGACGGCGGCAGCTACTCAGGCGGAGATTCAGGAACCGATTACATCCCACAAGGCTCCTCCTCGTCCAGCCGACCATTAACAGCAGAGGAGCGTGCGGAACGGGACCGCAAACGCAAAGAAGATCAAGAGGAGTACGAGCGTAAGCGAGCGGAAAAAAAAGAGAAGAAGCAACAAAGGAGGGCAGTCCGAGCCGAGACGGCTACTGCAGTCAAAGCGAAGCGCCACGAGGCGGCTAAGCTGAAGGAGAAGATACGTCTGACTGCCACGCTTCTTACACTCAAGCTCCATCTTTGAGCGACGCCAGACACACTTCAAGGCTTTGAATGGAGTCTTCATTCGTCGCCGCAGATTCTGGAACGACATCGTCAGGCGATTGCGGAACGACATCTGGAGATCGCGGAGCCGATTCGAAAGGCGATACTGGTGACTGTGGTGCTGATTCAGGGAAAGACTGTGCCGACACAGAACCTCATCCGACTGAACGAGAATACAAGTACACCGACTTCGCCGCTACACCCCAGACAGACACTGCCGGTCCTTCCACCTCGTCGCAGTCGAAGACACAACCAGATACTAGCACACCAGAAGAACGACAGCAACGAGAAGAGCGTAAACAAGCGAGGGCGCAGAAGAAGGAAAAGAGAAAGGAACAGACAAAGAAGTTTCTGAACAGCGCCAAAGCTGTTGCTGAGAACATCATCAAGGGCAAGTTTTGAGGCGTCCGCTGAACGGTCGAGACTTGTATACGGCTCCACAAGCTCGAGTCCAGGACATACCGATCATTTGCGCGGATGGGGGCCAGTATTCGCAGTAGTCGGAGCGTGCGATTCTCTCACGACACAGACACAAGCCGTCAATCAGTGGCAGACTTCTCTCGCTGGCCGGGAGTGTACATCCATCCAGGGAACTTTGTACACGCCGCCGACAGACCGAAAGACGAAGAAGCGTGGCAGAGGTGTCGCAACAGTTTCAGAAGACTGAAGGCTCGTGTCCGCAAGAGGAGGGCTGAACGAACCGACTCGCATGGCAAACGTCGGTAGTTTCGACATTCCTCGCCCTAACGCGGGTGAGCACACCTTCTATCAGAACATCACCTGTTATGTTCACGTCTACGCGCCGACTACTGTACACCAAAATACCCCGTACGCGGCGCCAGAGACTCATGCCGCGGTGGGAAGCTCATGCGAATCGGATCCAACGCTGTCAGTGCCCGAGAATCTAGGCGGAGTCGCTGCCAACCTCCGTCTTATTGACCTCGAGAGGGTGAAACGAAGACGACCCGGAAAGAGACAAGCCCTTATCGAGTGGACAATCAGGAAGCTTCAGAGGTTACTCCACAAGGTGACCTAAAGCGGACAGTCGCGAATGCGGTGGCATCGAGACCATGCTGGCAAAGCCCGTCGAGCTCGACGGCCTTTCGGGCGACGTCGAATCGCATTCAAGTGGAACAAGCGACGCGAGAGATTTTGGCGTTGGCGTCGACTTCATTTCCTGGCGTTGAAGTATTGGGTGGCTGGCGTCGCGTGTCGCTGGTCCAAGGTCGCTCGGAAGTGAGCACAGACCGCCCGCAACTGTGCATTGGCACCAGAACTGCTGCTCGCCATACTTCACGTCATGTTCGCCCGCACCACCCGCAACACTCTTGCTGCAGCCTCGAAACAGCCCTACATATGTCATACATGTCTGCGCCGGACTAGACAGTCTCAATTGGGCGTTGTCCATCTTCCCACGCGTCACACAGCACGGTCTCTCCACACTGAGACGCAGCCACCACCGACCCAGGATGGTACAGCCTTTCGAAAGCAGCTGAAAGATGCTGCGAAGCAACAGAAGAAAGAGAAAAGTGCCTTTTCTGGCGCCTCAAAGTCCTCGAAAAAGGGCAAAGATGTGCGACTAGAGAAGTGGGAGTTGACGGTTGGAATCGAAGTCCATGCCGAACTCAACACTGCGCGGAAGCTTTTCTCAGGTGCTGCGACCTCAGTCAGCGAGGCACCCAATACTCATGTCTCCTTGTTCGACGTCGCCTTCCCCGGTACTCAGCCTCACTTCCAGAAGGAAACCCTCCTACCCGCCCTCCGCGCCGCCATAGCCTTCCAGTGCGAGATACAGCCCAAGAGCAGCTTCGACCGCAAGCACTACTTCTACCGAGATCAGCCCTCGGGCTACCAGATCACGCAGTACTACGAGCCCTTCGCGACGAACGGCAAGATTACCCTGTACCCTCATGACTTCCCGCCTGGCGCTGCCCCGCAACCTGGGCCCGTCGAGATTGGCATCAAGCAGATACAAATGGAGCAGGATACCGCAAAGACCGTGCAGCAACCCCCTTCGACCCACCTACTCGACTTCAACCGCGTCTCGCATCCTCTAATCGAAATCATCACTCTCCCTCAGATCCACGATCCCACGGTCGCTGCTGTCGTCGTTCGCAAGATACAAAACATACTCAAGGCTGTCAATGCCTGCACAACGGGCATGGAGTTGGGCGGACTGCGTGCCGATGTCAACGTATCAGTTCGTCAACGGGCAGGGGAGTCATCTGACTATAGTCACTCATACCACGGTGTTACTGGTCTGGGTCAACGGACTGAGATCAAGAACCTGGCAAGCGTCAAGGCTGTCGAAGACGCCATCATCGCAGAACGTGATCGACAAATCGACTTGCTCGAGGGCGGAGGTGTCGTTGAGGGCGAGACTCGCGGATGGACTCTTGGAAGCAAGACTACCAAACGTCTCCGAGGCAAAGAGGGTGAGATCGACTATCGCTATATGCCGGACCCAGACATTGCTCCTGTCATCATTGGAAATGTAAGCACAGGCACTAATTTTGGCATGAACGCTGTGCTAATATTATCAGGATCTTGTTGAACACCTCCGGAACACCCTTCCCAAACTGCCGGATGTGAACGTGGACATGCTCGCCAACACATACGGACTCACTACCAAGGATGCCATCACACTTCTCTCCATGGACGACGGCGAACGGTTGGAGTATTACCTAGAAGTCATTCGCTGCCTGGTCCGTCAAACCGAGCAGCACGAGCAAGACGTTCCGCTGGAAACCCTGGGCAAGATCACTGGGAACTGGTATGTTCATCTGCCATGATATGGGTCGGGATCAAACTAACGTATGACTAGGGTGTTGATGGAACTCGGCTCTCTCTTCCAAGACGAACCTTGGGACCCTAACCGCGTCCCAGCCGACTATCTCGCCGGTGTCATCTCGCACATACGTCGCAAAGAGGTCACGTCGCCTTCCGCAAAACGCCTACTCGCCATCAAATTTGAGGGAGATCAGCGCAGCGTATCTGAAGTCGTTCACCAAGAGAACCTTCTCTTGCAACCCCTCAGCCAGGAAGAGTACGTCAAACTAGCACAGACTCTACTAGAAGAGAAACCCGACATGGTTCGCGACATCACCGAAAAGGGCCAAGTCAAGAAAGTCGGCTGGTTCGTGGGACAAATGGTGATGCGTGCTCCGGATGGGAGTGTCGAGCCAGACAAGGCGAAGGAGGTACTGCTGAACTTGCTGGGTGGAGGAGAAAAGGCGTAGTGATGATGTGGATACCCTAATAAACCATATTGCTATTGTTGACGGTGCATATTGCTTTTGTGCCTTATGTGACTGATGGTTATATGGCTATAAGGGTCCAATGTACGGGTAAGGATGTCAAAACCACTGACGTTTGACAGCCCAACAACCTCTCAACCCACCGACTCAGCCAGCCCACAAGAGTGCGACCCTCGTGTCTCGCTTCCACAGTATGAGTGCCCACAGCGCACGGTGACAAGCTCGCAATTTGGGAGTCGGCTCAGGTCCCAGCCAAGCGACCGCGGGTGCAACACTTCTGTCATTAGCCATCAACACCCGCATACATCAATCCGCGATGTCACCCGAACAAACCGCCGCATACCTCGCCCGCTTCCGCGACCGCATCGCCACTATCCGCCAGAACGTAACTGTCGTCTCCCTCAAAGGCAAGTTCGCAAACCCCATCCGCCGCAGAGAAGACCTGGGACGCAGGGGAGATAATGCACGAACGGCACTGTCTGCGTCGCTGGGTCTGTATTATACTGGCGTGGATAAGTCGGAGGAGGATCTGAGGGATGTGAGTCCCGTGGGGTGGGGGGATGGGGATGGTGATGGGGATGGGGATGAAGATTGTGATGGGGATGAGGATGGAAGGTCTGATAGCATGGAACCTCTGCGGAATCGCGATCGAGATTCCAGCAGAGGGGATATCAACGACGGGACGTGGGGTGGAGAATGGGAGTTAGATATGGATAGGGAGGAGGAGCGGTTGATGCGTATGGAGCACCGGATTGCGGAAGAGCGTGAAGAGAGTGTATCGGGTGGGGAAAAGGTTGGAGTGGGAGGAGTTGGAGGGGGGGAGATGTATGTGGCGTATCATAGTATTAATAGTGGGGCGGCGAGGAGGAGGGGGTTGGATGAGGTGCAGAGGATGTATGAGGGTGGGGGGAGGTACGCTACGGTATGTTAATGAGTGCTAGGGGTGAGGAAGGGGTGATTGGATGGAGACTGACTGGTGTATAGGTTGGGAGGAAGAAAGGAAGAGAGTTGCAGAGTATGCTAAGGGATCTGGGGGCTGAGGAGTGGAATGGGGGAGGGGCAGATGAAGAGGCGCGAGATGAAGAAGCGCAGGACGAGGAAGCGCAAGACGAAGAAGCGCAGAACGAAGAACCGCCAGACGAAAAACCATCCCATACTGCTACCCAAGACGAAGAGAACGAAGACGAAGAACCACCCTATCCCGCCAGCCAAGGAAACGAAGACTCCATCTCCCTCCCCTCAAACCCCTACCCCGAAGACGACTTCCTCCTCCCCCTAACCCGACAACCCGCACGAACCACACCTCCCCCGCCCTTCCCCTCCCCTCCCAACCTAATCATCCACCCAAACTCCTCACCGGGACTATCGATTCCATCACCCGGACCATCGATACCATCAAACCCTTACCCAGAAGACGCACCGTCCTCACCAACCCCCTCTTCCCAGCCCCCTCCACCACCACCACCCCGACCCACACAATCCCCATCCCCATACTACCGCGCTGTAACACCGCCTACACCGCACGCTCGCTTCCCGATATATCCTTGTGACAGAACGATCTCGCCTATTAGTCCGTTTAATGCGAGTAGGCATTTGATTTCTGCGGAGGGGACGGCGTCGAGCCTGAGTTACCGGATTGAGCATCGACGAGAAGGAAATGATGGATACAACAATGATGGTGATGGTGTAGAAGGGGGGTATACGTATGCGCCTAATCATCCTTATCACGGTATGAGTGCTCAAGAGACGAGCGAGTATTGGCTTGGGCTTGAGGGGTATCATACGGAGAGTGAGCGCAATTTGAGGAGAAGGGGTGAAGGGAGGGGCAGAAGACGGACGGTGTCTTCGCCTGTGCAGTATGATGCAGAGAGGGTGTTTGGGTCTGTGGGGGAGAGTTATCAGGGTGGTGGTGTAGATGGTGATGGGGCACGTGAGGATGAGGTTCGGCGGCGGTATTTGGACGCTTTGACTGGTGAAGAGAGAAGGATGGCGGAGCAGGAAGAAGAGGAAGAATTCGCCATGAGAACCGCATCTGGAGAAACCAACGCAGGGAGGAAGAACATGATGAACCGGCTCCTAAGCACCTTTGCATGTCGACCCGGAACCGTCACACCACTACACACCACCATCCCCAACCCAAACGACACAAACACACCCACCACACCCACCACACCCACCGTACCCACAACCCCAAAGAAATACACCATAGCCTACCTCTCCCACAAAATAGGCCGAACCCAAAAAAGACAAGAAGAAGCAAAGCTCCGAGAACGCCTCATGGCCCTCCGCCTAGCCGAACCATCTGCGCCGCAAACCCACCACATCGAAGACATCAACAACCCCACAGAAATCCCCGTACTCATCCCCAAACCCAAAGCGAAGAGGAGAAAAGACAGCACACAGCCCAACCCACCTTCTCTTGTCCCAAACCTAGAAAGCCGGACGCAGAGTGTTATTGGTCCGCCCGTTGGTCTTTCGCAGATGATTCAGAGGGCGCCGGGGAGTGTTAGGGTGGTTACGCCTTTGCCTGTTTCTGTAACTGTGTCGGATGTAGAGGTTGAGGTTGAAGGGGTTGAGGAGAGTGAGCAGAGAGGACCTAGACAAGAGCACTCAGGCTCGAGTCTCTCCGACCGATTGCGGCAAACGCAACTTGAAGATTTACCTCTGCAACAGGATGCAGCAAGGGAGATACGGGATTTGATGATGGCGCTTGAACGGGATCAAAACCATCTTATCACCAAGCCTACGCCGCATCCGCATAGCGGCACAGCACCCCACGATCCCAACACGAACGCACCAGCTAGCCAGAAAGCAGATGAATTACCCGCTGGTTTCTCGACTTCATCACCCCAGGCCAGTGTTTCCCCCCACGAAACTCTTGAACGACACTTCCGCACACAACGCCAAGTCAATGAGCGTTTCATCCGTCCCATTCGTGCGATAACTTCGCAGTCGAGTAGTCGGACGCTGCCGAGGAGCTATCGGGTACCGGAGGGGCATGGTGGAGGGAGGGGTGTGCTGAGGGTTACTAACGCGGTTGTGCAGGGAGAGGATATTGGAGGGGTTGGAGAGGGAGAGGGAGAGAGAAATGAGGGAGGTGAGGCGGAGGAAGAAGGTGTTAATGATGCCGGTAATGGCGGTAGCGGTGCGAGTAGTACCGCTGAGAATCAGCAAGCTGATGCGGGGGAGTTGGAGACGGGTGCAGAAGAGAAGGGGGAGAATTTGCTTCAAAACAACAACAACGGTGATGAGGATTGTGGCAAGGATATCCCAGAGGCTGGATGAGCGATACCCAGGTCGGTCGTGCTATGAGTACAGCCCATCTTGACTCTAATTGTACCGTTGACATTACGTCTGTTGCTACTTCTGCTCAAAACCGAATTATCAAGCTAGAGGATAGATGCATTGGAGCTGTGGTTCCCAGACCGCTTGCGATCCCTGAATTTTTACGTGATGGAAATGGCTGCCAATAAGGCGTCACCATCGAAGTAGTAATAGGAACCGCGTTGACTTTGAGTATATAAGAAGATGGTCGCTGGGGACGTGCGGGACTGATAGTTCTTGTTGTCTACATTGACTCATTGAGTGCGCCGTGATGACCCGTGCTTGCTGAATCACATGCACGTGTACTGTGCCGCATATACTTTCCACCTTGCACCCCTCAACCTTTTTCCTTCCATTAAGATCGCAATCCCAGGATGAGTGTCCGTTCTCGACTCCCTGCATTACAGGTCGGTTCAATTGCTCAAAGCCAGGTACTTGAGCATCTACCGCGCGTGTGCATTGCCAAAGCTGAATAGTAGTCGCAAGGCCGCGCCTCGTGATCAAACAGGAGAAAGGCAACGAACCTCCTTGCTGACATGGAATGAGATACGTAAGATCAGTCGATTTACACCAAGTTTCTACAGCTGATCGGTACTGTAGCGAGTTGGTACCAGTACATATCACCATTGGATTAGTCCATCATCGACATACGCTCATTAGTATCAGAGACAATGAGTACATTCTATCAAGCTACCGGTAACGCTCCCGTAACCCCCTCTATTAGGACGGCTTCTAAAAAGAGCGATACACAGGCCCGTCTCAAACTCCTATACCCAGTCCTTAAGAAGCATCTTCAATATCCACAACGAAACAGGTAAGCTATCACCCATTACCTGCCTACAAAAGACAAACTGACCACTCTCTCCAGCAAACATATTCTCGCATCTCATCAGCTCAGTACTATTCTTCACTCTCCCCATCCCCGTATACTATACGCTGCAGCAGCCAAGATACACCACAGCAACCACAGCCGACGTCATAGTCTACGCAACCTTCTTCTTCGGTGTCGGCATTTGCTTTGCACTGTCCGCAACGTAAGTCCCGCATCACACATTCCCATCCACTCGGCGCCTAAGAAGTTGGCTAACACACAAACCCAGTTTCCACATCATCGCCAACCACAGCAAAACCGTCCACATCTTCGGTAACCAGCTCGACTACGTACGTAACCCACCCCCACCAACCTCCACCAATCCACCACATCCAACTAACTACCTCAGCTCGGCATAGTAATACTAATATGGTGTTCCACCATCCCAAGTGTACACTACGGTTTCTACTGTTCCCCCCACCTACAAACAACATACTACACTCTCGCCTCCGTCTTAGCAGGAGCTTGTATCTACGCAACGCTCCACCCAGCGTTCCGTCGCCCGGAATATCGTCCGTACCGCGCGGCCATGTATGCGGGTCTTGGTCTCTCGTTCGTCGTTCCTGTTGTGCATGGTTTACTGGAGTTTGGTGTGGAGACGCAGATGGGGAGGATGAGTTTGGATTGGATGGTGGTGATGGCGGTGTGCAATCTTACTGGGGGTGTGGTTTACGCTATGAGAGTATGTTGATGAGCCGCAAGAAATATTCTATGTGGAAAGAAAGGAATAGGGAACTGACTACATGCAGATACCGGAGAAATGGTATCCGTACCGGTTTGATGTCTGGGGTTCGAGTCATCAGATTATGCATTGCTTGGTTGTTTGTGCTGGTGTTGCGCATTTGTGCGGTCTGCTGAGGGCATTTGACCATGTTCATGGGCATGGAGATGTTTGTGCGGTGTGACGAGGGCTACGTTGTTATACATATAGTACTCAACGCACACGTCCAGCGTGTCAAGCGGCAGCTTAGCCGTATCTTTCAGCAGCATGTTCCAACCCTTACGCAGTACGTTAACGATGGTAAGGCGATATAAGTGCAGATCGAAGCGCTTGATGAACTCCAGTTTGCGAAGGACGTACGCAGCGTCAAGTGTTCGAGATGACCAGCTTCACACACGGAAGAGAGTAAGATTGTAAAAATGTGATTGAGCGATGTTTGATTGCTGATTGACGTGAACGAATGAGCACGCCCAAATGACCCTGAGCGGTTATTGAGATCGGTGGCATGGTAGACAGAGTGCATGATCGCACGCGCATTTTCGATGCGACTAAATTACTCCAGTCAATGTAATTGAATCGACGCCAGCGCTTGGAGCGCAAAATGCGTTGTCTGGATGACAGTCGTTCAGACCAAGAAGTACGCGGTATACTGGACTCATCAAGTTAGTACCACAGAATTTTCACCTCACAGCACGCAGAGCCAGAACATCACGACGTCACGACATCATGGAGGCAGCCATGCGATAGCATAGCGATGCCGAACCACATCCACGCATAGCATGGACGGGATAGCCAAAGGCCCAAGGTTTGTTCAGGAACGGTCATATTGTCTATGAAACATTCCTCAGCCACCACGCTGACGCAAGTCAACGCAGACCCGTTTTTAGGGTAACTGCGGACTTGAAGATCCATCCCAATAATTGCCGTTATGGTATCCTTTTGTATCATTCCGAGACGCCGTTTCATGCACAATCGTGTTGTGTGAGTGATGGTTGATCGTATCGTATCGTTCTGTCGCTTATGCGACGAGCTGAACGACACCACCAGCCTCCTTGATCTTCTTCTCAGCCTCAGCGGAGACGTAGCGGGCGCGGACGACGATGGGGACAGCGGGGAGACGACCCTTTCCGAGGACCTTGGAGTAACCGTAGTCGAGGAGGTTGAGGACGGGCGCGTTGCCGGACTTGTTGGCGAGGTACTCGGCGCGCTTCTCGGCGGGGATGAGCGACCAGAGCTTGTCGAGGTTGATGACGGGCTTCCAGAAGAGGTTCTGCATCTTGTGGAAGTACCTCATACCGACTGCACGAAGTCAGTGTTTGTCTCACATGCACTTCGTACACTCATAACTTACCCTTTCCGAAGTAACCAGGATGGTACTTGTCGATGTTGGTCTGGTGGTGATGTTGACCACCAGCCATACCACGACCACCGGGATGCTTCCTGTGCTTTCCGACACGTCCGTGACCCTGGATGCCGAGTTAGCACTATACAAGAGGGCTTCGCGGATAGTAACTTACGGCGGAGACGTGACCTCGGTGCTTGCGGGTCTTGGTTAGGCGGGTAGGCATCTTTGCGTCGTGATGCTGTGGGTTAGTTGTCGAGCGAAAGTTCGATCGAGGGACGGCGCTGGCGATTTTCTTCGTTGAGCGGAAAAGCTAAGCGAGGTGCGCTAGTGGTGGTCACGTGCGGGATCCTTGTCGCATCGTCACGGCGGTGCGTCCGCATATCGACGAGGTCGCGGAGAGAGGAACATCAAAGTGCGCAGGATGAAAGCATGATCGGAGAAATGTTGGGTGTTGAATTGAATACGTGGGTGTCGTCTTTCAGTAGTAATACTCCGCCGGTTCCCCACTATCGCTATGCAATACAGACTTCATTCATCGACGTCGCTGCGTTCTCTACTACCCTACCCCCAGTACGGTGTCCGCAGGCCCACAAAAGTCGAGCCAACACCATCACCCGAGTCCTCCTTCTTGCGCTGTCCAGCAAGCTATTCAAAGTCAGCATTCGCGTTCCGAAGTAACACCATCAGATGCCAAGTACCTCTAACTGAATATGCCTATGCACATGCACAAGCCAATCCACATAACTCTGCGCCTCATTATTCCGATCCTCATACAACAACCTCGCAAACTCGTATTCCGCACCATCAAGCCCCTGTCTTGCAAGTTGGATGGTAAGCGCCTTGGACGCCCTCGTAGCTTCGAGGTACTGCAGAATATTCCTGACTTGGGCGTTGAGGTGGGTTTCGAGGACAGGGAGGGTAGACTGGAAGGGATCGAGCGCTTTTAGACTGTTGTTGCCTTCGCCGAAGAGGTCTTCGAGGAGGTTGGGTGAGACTTGGGTGTGCAGCCATAGGAGGCAGACTTGGCCGTTGTCGACGATGTAGGCGCCGCCTTCTTCGACTTTGGAGAAGGAGGCTCGGATGTTTTCTGGCATTACGAGATGGCCCTTTTCGTTTGCGAAACCGTCGCGCGCGTCGAGGTTGTGGATTGCGATGATACGGGGGTAGAGGTATAATGACATCTCTAGAGGTCCCATCGACTTGATCATGCGCATGTCGTGGACTCTTCGGTCGGTGGGCTCTTTGCCGCCCTTGAAGGCTCTTGACTTGATTAGTCCGAGAATGTACATGCCGAACTCCTTCAGGTTCTCTGGGAGCACGAGTTGTCCAGGAGGATTGTTGCCAGTGAAGTTCTTCCTGTAACCAGCAAGAATGTCGACAGTCTTCTCCGTCAAGGCTCCCCTAATCTCCTTGAGGTTCTTCTCTGTCATGCGAGCAGCAGCTTCCTTGGCGATGATGTTTACGACGGCATCCTGATCGACGAACTTCATGCATTCACCAGTGTTCGGGCTGACACTGGCCACGATGTTCGTGCACCGCACTCGTCGCTCACCGTTGGCTGCCGTGTATAGTAGCGCACTTTGGAAGTGAGCATCAAGCTTTGGATCCAGTTTGCCATCGTAGCTGAACATGACACCAATAGCCTTGTCGGCGTCAATGACTCCGAACTCTAGATCGGCGCCAAAAGTGTGGTGGTAGAAGTTTCCGTGGTAGGCAGAGACCTGCAGGCCATTTGAGCAGCGAACCTTCATCAGCGCTTGATATCCGGTTTCTCGCGTGACTGTGTGCTGGATCTCCTTGGATAGTTTCAGGATATCCCTTGGCGCATGGAAGTTGGGGTAGTAGAAGACTTCTCCACCTGTTACAGCAGAAACGTGGCCAATCGTCGCAATGTCGAGGTACCCTCCACTGGGCGCAGCAAGGAAAAAGTCCACACCAATACCATTCTGCACCATCTTCTCGGCAACCTTCTTGAACCCAGGATGCTCAGTCTGAAGAAGCTTCTTCTCAGCATCGGTGTTGTGTACATTGTTGTCCTCACGTAGCATCAGCCGACCAGGACCCCAAGTCGGAAGCGCAGCCAAAGAGCACACAATCTTTCCGCCTGTAGCCGACAATGCTGCCACGGCAGAGTTCAAGCAAGGTAATAACGCTGGCTCTGGATTCTTGACTTCAGAGAACATGGTGGGTAGCTGTGCGAGAAGTGATGTGATGACGCTCTTACACTCCACGGGGTCGACGAACAAGCCTTCGCTGAAGGGTAGGAAGGGATCTTCGAGGTCAGACATGACGAGCATTTGAGCGCTCGTCAAGCTGGCGTTGAGGTTGTAAAAGTGCATCTCCTTGTCGTATGTGACGATGCCCACTTTAGCACCCTTTGGTATCCGAGTCGTAGTCTCGGCGCCCTCTGCCTCTGCTTCTTCGCCATAGAGCGCTTTCACGATGCCTTCACAAAAGCCATGGAGGAAACCACGGTTTACAGCCTCGGCGGTCACATCGACGAGGAACAACCACCGTAGACCGACAGGCTCTTTCGACCAGTATTCCTTGGGTACGAGGAAGTCGACAGTGCCCAAAGTGAGCTCCGGCCGTTGTAGTCTGTCTATCCGGACGCCAGACTGATCGGTAGGCGCAAAGTATTCACCGGGAACGTCGCCCGGGTATGTACACAGGTTGCACACGACCTTGTTTCCGCCAGCCTTGAACTGCATAAACGGATTGATGTACGCGCGACACCTTGCACATCGTGGTGGACCGGACTCGCCAAAGTCCAATACGGGTATAGCTTGCTCGCCTTCTTGTTGAGCAGCAAGCGGCTGCAAGACCATACCAAGCGGTAACGAAGTCGCAGCAAGGGCTTGCGCAGTGAGTGGAATGTTGTTCATGGTCAAACGTGCGAACTTAGGTGAGGAGTTGCCCTGGTCAAAGGCTACGAAGGGGACCGTGGCGGGAGGCGGTAGGTGGTGCTCCATAGTCGGGTATACGTTCTCTAGGTAGTACTTCGCCGGCGCATCGCGCGACTTCGGTATGCTGGGAATCTGCTCGGGATCTACACGTCCTTGAGCTGATCCAACCGCCGCTCCTCCACTCTGATGTGGTGCTGCCGGTGTTCTCGCAGCGTACTGCATAGGTGAAGCCTGCGATCCAGGACTGAAGATAGGGTTTACGGGTGCGGGAAACTGGCTCATGGCGGGAGTGATCTGAGGCTCCATCCATTGCGCTCCTCCGACTTGAGGCGAGTTTTGGTATTGTGTAGGTGTGCCATTCTGCGGCGCTCCGTTGAACGCCGGTGAACTTCCTCCAGGCCCTTCAATATTATGATATGCATGTCTGTTCTTCTTCTTGTGCTTGGGTTGTGCCGCCTGATCCATGCCCAGCCCAACTGCTCCCATTTGCCCCGCGAGGTTGTTCATATCTTGGTCGCCCTGGTACTGAGGTTGGCCCTGCAGCGCCGACTGGTCGGGGAAATAACCTTCTTGCTGGACTGGTGTGCCATATTGCGCTGGTGTGCCGGCGTACTGATTCGGCGGCTGGGCCATGGCCGGGCTGCCCGTCTGTTGGTAGCCAGGAGGGCCCGCAGCGACTGGTGGGCGCGATTTGTTGGGCTCGTCTGGTCTGCCGGGTCCGTTCGGGTTTGGAGAGCCCGTGCCGAGGGCGTGGTATGCGGCGAACTCAGACATGGTCGCGGCGCGGGGATGATGCAGTGGATTCGACGGACGGGACGATTCGAGGCGGGTCAGGCGTGTGGCGGAGGAACAACGGGGCGCGGAATGGTGTTAGAGATGTTCATATCATGGGGCGAGCATGCTGGGGGGATTTTGGGCACAGGCGGAGGGACAGATCTCGAAGTACCAAGGTTGATGATGTGGCTATTTTCTAGACCTCTGCTTCCATCATAAGAGCGCGTCCGTGCGCTCCCTCACATGCAAGAACGACAGGGTCCATTCACTTGCGTGTCACCGAATGTAGAAGCAGGACAGATTTTCGTGAACGGTGTGTTTGCAGGCATCGCTAAGATATGCAAGCGATTGTCCCTGCTGTTCCTTCCGGCCAAATCTTGGTACCGAATCAGCCTCGGGGTCTACCAGCCCACCATGGAGATGTGGGCTCTTCAAATGCTCGCGCAAGACCCCTCAGCGCGGCTATACACGCGACTCCCTCATGTACCCTCTGCAGCGCATGGTTACTACCTCATTCCTCTTATCTGAGCCGAGGCGCCAGGCGAAGCAGGCCCAGCTCCACCCCATGATACAGTATATCCCGCCCATCATCCATCTACTCCAGTTTATCCAAATGCGCCAACCTCGTCAGCACAACCTGTTTACTCGTCTCCTCAATCTCACCCGCCAAAAACACCTCATCCAGTATCGCATACACCTTGTAGAAATTAAACACCAAGTCCAGCTCACACACGTTCCCGAAGAAGGCATCTAGCACCTCGACGAAGAAGTGTATGGCTTCCAGATAGGCGAGTTCGTTGTCGTTTGTGTCGACGCAGGCGCAGAAGAAGAGGCCGGCGTAGCGGCGGTACACGATCTTGGACATGTTGCGGAACTCGACGAAGTTGGATTGGTGTTTTTGGTCGCGTGGGGCGATGAGGCGGTGGACCTGTGGATGGGGTTTAGTTGAGTTCGGAGGGTCGGTAGGGCGGTGGGTTCGAGAGTTAGGTAGGCGTCGGAGGTGAGGAGGATGGATGGGTAGGAAGGAGGGTATCGCATACCTCGCCCTTTAACTTGACTTTCTCTTCATCCTGCATAATTGTTAGCTACTGCGACTTCTCTCAATATGCTTCTGAGTCTCAACTCACACTGTACGGCGCATACCACTTCGCCAATCTTGTCTTCCCTCTACAACTCATTAGCTCTCCATACTACACGACCTCTCCAACCCTCCTCTGCACGAACATCCTAACTTACTGCCTATTCTGAATGAGGATGAACGAGAGCACCATCTTCGCAATGTGCCTCGTGGAATCAGGCTCGGCGCGCTGTGGGGAGAAGTGAAGGTGCAATAATGATGGCGCGGCGGCGGCGTCGAGGGCGCGACTTCCGTGAAGGGACATGGCCCAAGCGTCAAGGGTCAGGCACAGGCGCATCCCTGCAGGAACGTGGGCGCTGGCGGACCTGGGACGGAAGTGCCACTTTTAGCCGCAGGAAATCCTCACATTGAGATTTCCCATGTTTTCCTTTGGAATTGCGTAGCGCTGCTGATCCTGCTTTCATGATCAAGACATGTAATTATGAATTAAAGAAGGCCGACTAATCAGCAAAAACCCCATCTCACACAGAACACCCCCTACTCCCCACCCGACACAGTGGCGCAAACCCCTCCACTAACATATCCTCATCATCCAACCTAACCTGATCCTCCATCCTCTCCTCCACATTCCCCATCACCACATGCCCCGTCTCAGCATATCTCTTATCAACCGAGCCATTCATTCTAGACCTCGATTTCACGCGTCGATACCGCCTTCTGCTCACCAACGCCTTGAGCGAGTCCACCGCTGACGAAGACGAAGACGAGGATTCGGCTTGCGATGACGAAGATGAAGGCTCGTTGCTTGTGTTATCGGGAAGAGCAGGATCAAAACTCCCCATAACAACATCCCCATCCCCATCTCTCCTCACACCCACCACATCCCCACCCCCTTCTCCCTCCCCCTCCTTATCCTCCTTCTCAAACCTCGAAAGCGGACTCCCACCCCGTTCCCCAGCACCCTTCCTCCGCTCCGCACTCGCCCTCAACGCAGTCCAAAGATTCGTCTTGACAACCTTTCTCGATGTGACCGGACTAATTGGAGTTCCCAGTTTGACGGTACCCTCAGGCAACGTGTTGATAGGAGCAGTCAGTGTAGGCATACTGTTGTTGTTGTTGGCGCTTTCGTTACTGGGGAAGACGGAGGGGAAGACAGAGTCAACAGGTGTGTGTATGCCGAACTTTTTGCCCCAGCGGCATTCGGAGGGGTAGTCGCATGTATTCCAGCAGTCTTGCTGCTTCTCTGCCACTGCCACTTTATTCCAGCAGTCTTGCTTGCCTTGCACTCCAGCCCTGCCACTGTGTTTCGGTCCACCCCTCCGCCACCGCCCAATCGTTTTCCAGCCTTCGTAGTCGAACTCGCTCGGACAAGCACGATGGTTCCGTTGTTTCCTTTTATTACTTGACTTCCGCCAGGATTTGATAGTCGTGCTGCCGCTGCAGAAATGGTGGCCGTCTTCGAGACAGCGGCGCGTTACGCCGAGACGGTAGTGGTGGTGGCATTGGTGGCATTTCCACATCCAGGGTAAGGGACTTGATGGTGCGTCATCTTCAGGTGTTGGATAGCCGGGAGGGGTTTGTGGAGTTGGTCTGTGGGCTTGCTGGCGGAAGGGAAGAGGAGGTGTGAGAGGTGTGCGCGGCGAGAATGGCGATGGTGGGATGGAGAGAAATGAGGATTTGAAGGGTGTTGCGAAGATTTGGAGAGAGTCTTTTGCTTTTCTTCCTGGCATGCTGGAAGCTCTTGGTTCAAATTACTTGACGTAGAAGGGGAGTTGGTCGCGATGTCGACCACTCGACGTTGCGATTTCTCATCTTACACGAGTACCTACCTTTTCTACAGACATCCCTAACATCAGCCTCCATCGCCTCCTGAGCTGCACTACTTCTTTGAGCATTTCCCACGAGGCGTTGTTACGAGCATCGACCCAAGCTGCGTTCAACAGCGGCCTTTGTCATCGTAGCTCAGCCCTACGCGGGGCCACGCAACCACACACGAACAAAGAGGAATGCGTTCGTGATCGAGACATCAGACTTCAAGGCCAACAGAACGGACAAAGGATACGGCTCGAGATCTTGCACAAGACTACCATTATTTCTTAGCGTGTTCCATCTCCTTAACCCCCATCCAATGACATCACACCTCATATCTAATTCCGTCACACACCATCACGATGCGAGATCAACATTCAACTTCAAGTATCGATCGAAGCTTTGCACGTGAGTTGTCTTTAGTCTACTGCACAGCCTCCCCCACACGCACCCGCCTCACCGGTACACCCATGCCCACACGCACACCCAGAGATAAGGTTGTCCAACGGCGCAGTTTCCAGATCGGCGAGGTATCGTAGTTCCCGCTTTCCATCCCAACACTCTTGTTCGCGATCGAGACCACTGGATCAAATGAAATCCAATAGTCTTGGCTTGGAAATAGGCTGCGCATACAACAACCAGTCAAATCAGTCGAACCGCATATGCAGATAATGTACGTAGCGCATATCCAACACTCTTCTTTCATACGCCGCTGGGAGTTGAGATAAGCCATCCCCACCGCACCTCAGCACATCGCTACCACAATGCGCGATAGAGATACACATCTTCGATATCTACGGTAAAAGGCTGCGTCGTCCTTGCATCGTGCAGATGTCAAGCCCACTTCAGTGGTAGCTTCGGTGGTAGCGTTGGTGCGTTGACATCATCTTGCCTGCGTAAATCTGGGGTTCACAGTCTGGAGGAGCGGGAAAAGATAAGAAAGTGAGGAGAGTAGGCTTGGCGTCGTTGTGTAGTCAATTCTATTCGTCGAATGGGGGGAGTCGATCGTGCTTAGCATGATAAGAAAGGCTGGGCGCGTGTCGGTGATGTGGAATGTGTTGATATAGGTTATGGGCGAGTTTGAAGTGATTTGGAATACACATGGGGAATTGCCAGATGGGAGCGATAATGATGTTTGATGTATCCATTCTCGAATTATGTACAATACATGCGGAAAAGAAAAAAAACTGTAATACAATCATCTAAATGTATATGATCAAAAAGCACAGCTCAAAGACCGCGGGGAGGAGCAGCGCAAGGTGGTATCTCGAAACGGGTAATGACTCAAAAAAGTCGCAAGCAACAAATCCAAATCAGATCAATGCGCAGCAGCAAAGAGAAAAGGCCCTTAAGTTTGAACCTGCTTCTCGTGCTCGGAGCCCATGGCCATCGCGTGCCTGTCGCCCGCAATGCCCGTGTGCTCGTGGCCTGAGCTGTGTTCCGATGGTGCCTTGCCCTCGAGCATCTGGCTGTGCTGGGGGATGCCGTGGCGCTCGCCTTGGGGTACAGAGTGCTCGCCGTCGATGGGCTCGCCCTTAGCAGGAGTCCATGCGAGGTAGTCACGGCGGACCTCGACGTAGTCGTAGGCGAATTCGCCGAGCTGGTCGTCGTCCATACCGAGGAGCTCGGCCTCTTCAGATGCGCGCAGCTTGAGGCCGGGGATCTTGTCGATGACGAAGGCGAGGATGGCGCTGACGACGAAGGAGTACGCGGTTACGGCGACGATGTAGGCGATTTGCTTGTAGATCGCGGCGGGCTCGCCGGTGATGGCACCAGCGGTAAGGCCGTTGTTGACTCCGTCGAGTCCGATGATGTAGTCGGCACCGAAGATTCCGTTGAAGAAAAGACCCCACATTCCAGCGACGCCGTGCTCAGCGAAGACATCGAGAGAATCGTCGATCTTGATCCAGAACTTGACTAGAGAGATGTTAGCGAGCTGTTCGCGGAAAGGGTTCGACAAGGTACATACTCTTGGTGGCAAAGTTAGCAACAATACCGGTGGTAATACCGAGGATGACGCTGGCCCATGGGGGCAAGAAACCGGAAGCGGGAGTAGCAGCGACAAGTCCGGAGATGACACCTGAGCACCATCCGACCATGGACCACTTGCGAGCAAGACGCCAATCGAGGAGAACCCAAGTCATAGCGGCGAACATGGCGGTAAGGTTGCTGTTCCAGCATGCCATGACAGCACGGAGGTTGGCGCCGAAAGCGGAACCACCGTTGAAGCCCAACCAGCCGAACCACAGGAAGACGGTTCCGAGGGTGATCAAGGAGACGTTGTGAGGGCGGAAGTTGAGCATCATCTTCTCCTGGCGACGTCCGAGAATCATGGAGTAGGCGAGGGCTGTGCAACCGGAGACAATCTCGACGGGACCACCACCGGCGTAGTCAAGTCCACCCCATGCGAAGAACCAGCCGTTTGCGTTCCAGGCCCAGTATGCGACGGGGCAGTATACGATCGTGGCCCAGAGCCAGATGAAGACCATCATGGGGATTAAGCGACCGCGCTCAGCAACGCAACCGACGACGATGGCAGCAGTGACAGCGCAGAATTGCATCTGGATTGTGTTAGTTCGTCGAAACCGGTTCATAGTAAAGGTTTTCGTACCTGGTAGAAGGAGTACAGCAACTCTGGGATCAAAGGACTACCGGGGCTGGGATGAGCCAGAACGCCCTTGAGACCGAACTTGTCGAGGTTTCCGATGAAACCGTTCGTTGAGGGTCCGAAAGCGAGCGAGTATCCCCAGAAGTACCATTGGAAGGTGATGACGGAGGCGGAGAACATGCAGGCCCAGATGAGGGAGAGGGCGGACTTTCTGCGAGCAAGACCGGAGTAGAGGAATGCGAGACCAGGAACCATGATCATCACCATGGCCGAAGCCACGAGGATGTAGGCCTGGTCACCCGCAGAGAACCATTGGTTCAAGTTCTCGGTGACTGAAGTTCATGTTAGCCTTCTGTCGCACACGATGCTGATGTTGCGCTCGGCACGTGCGCAATGGTACTTGGGGACTTGTACTCACCAGAGTCACCACCAGTGATATCATCGGTGCCATTGAACTGCGCCGGAGGGCCGACCCACGAGTACGACATGGTGAGGGAAGTCCTAGGGGATTGTCGGGGTACTAAGGAGATCTGGGGTCCTTAAGTACTATGGGGAAAGGGAGGACGGTTCCACGGTAGGGCCTGTGGAACTGTGGAAGAAAAGAGAAGGAATCAAAAGCTGGATCGGTGCCAGTAATATAAGCTGCTACAGGGAGATTCCGGAAGCCCTACTGTAGATTACGGTAGATGCGCCGGGACCTTTATGGGTGGAACTTGCTGTACTACTCTTATCTATCCTGGTCCACGGGCCATCACTCGAGGCAAAATAGACGAGGGTACATCACCCACAGCCGCGACCGTCGTGGGGTTCGCGTTAGATCCAGCCATGGAGCTTTGTTCTTTTTCTGCCGCGATTGATCGGAGCTGCGTCATTGCTGTCTCTAACGA